GTGGGCCAGTCCAACATGCAGGCCTCGCACTGACAGAAGAATAGAAATTGCTGCAGCAATTTGAAGCGTCGATAAGACTTTGGCATCATTGCATAGTGGAGTCCATAATTATCGAATACCTGTGAAAAAGGTCACCATTATACCCCATTGCCTGCCTTTAATTTAAAAAATGAACAAAAGTTCTCACCTGCTCCCCCTTGGAGATAACAGTTTCAGAATATAAGACCATTTTTCTTCCATGGTTAACTCTGCAGACGGAAGGACAGCAGCTATGGTTGATCAGGCTGTAGACAGGCATCAGAGCAGCACTTTTCTCAACAGGATCAGTCCCTAAACCCTCTTCCGATACCTAATCGATAAAATATTTATAAATTAATAAAAGCTCTCTCAACTCCTAGAGCACCGGACAATTCTTCACTCTCGTTATCATCCCAAAAATCCCAAAAACCGTGAGGTTTAGAGCAAAGCCTCACATCTTTAAAAAAGTTATCTAGATGTTTCAACTAGGACCGGTCGTTTTCGATGTATCAATTCGAAAGAGCGCGAAAATTCACTCACCCCATGTACGTTGCTTGGAATAATTTGCTGATGCCTCATAATGAGTCCTCCCACGAAGATGACGTCCTCGTTCTCCTTGAGCTCTTCCAAATCCGCAGGCAATTGCTTCCCGAAAAGTCGAGTCCTCGTGGCCAGTGTGTAAACAATGAAGGCACTATTGAGCGATCTGCCAACCAAATCTGGTACGGATCTCTTGTCAGTGTTCCTAGCAAGTGTATAAACATTCGCATAGTCCTTATCATCGAAAATTTTCCCATTGAAGCCATCGGGTATTCCTGTCCTGCCCTCGATCTTCTCCACCTTCTTCCTCAGCTCCTCAATTCCCCCCGCTTGTTTGATGGCCTTGATAGCTATCCTAAGACTCAAAAGCCCTAGATTACTCATCTCTTGGTGTAACAGCACCCCAATCACCGGGCACTCTACATCATGATGCTCCTCCCAAGCCTTGTCCCTGCACTCCTCACTGCAGTAAATGACATTAACACAATTTGGACAGGGAATCGAGCTCCAAGTCTGCTCCAGACAACCCCAGCAGTGTGTGAGCATCTTCTCTGGGACTAAGACACAAGCATACGGCTCCATAATCCCGAGAACATCTCCTGGATCAATATCTCTAGTTGCCACCATGTGTTTGCCGAATTCATCCGAGTACTTCAGCTCGAGGCTGGCAGATAACCCGGGGATTTGCTTGTTTTCATCGATTAACTTGGGGAGATTTTTTGTCGCGTCCCATTTGACGTAAGGTGCCTGGGCGGGAAACCTCTTAGTGCCCTTCAGAATCTTCTCAACTTCAGATTTAGTGGTATTTTTTGGATCCATTTTATCCAGCCACAGACGACCGTTCTCTCGGCACTTTTCTAGTTCTTGCTTTGAGGATTTTGAAGATATACCCCGAGCCATGAGGCATCGTGCCTGGCGTGCGTACAGTTTTGCCTTCAAATTATCGGGGTAAGGGAGTGCGAGAGCTCTCGATATGTCCAGGAGGCAATCGTCGTAGAGGCGAGCCAAAATCAACATTGCTGAACGATTCCCGTAAGCAATGGACAATTCTTCGGAGCCTGTCGGGGCGAAGACTATGCTCTCCGTGTATTTCTGGATTGACACGTCGAGGTAACTGTCTACGATCTTCATTGAGAAGACAAAGTTGCCCATCTCGCGGAGGCGTGACGACTCCTCAGAGGACTTGCTAATTATCTTCGAGGGCAAGGGCCTTGAATAATCGATGAGGAGTTGTATGGTGTACTTTACACGTTCCGAGTCACTTTGTAAGAGCGAGTACTCAGTGTGATACGCCTTGTGTTTCCCAGCTTGGAGGAGCTTACAGCTCAGTCTTTCCAGAAGAGCGTCCATCGTGATTTCATGTACTGAATCAATTTTCAAATTTCAAATAATATTACAAATTAAATATAAAAATGCGTTAAATTTAATGAGTTCAGTAGCTAAGTGATAACGGGAGATATATCGAGTTATCTCTTTGATTAGTGTTCCAGGAATATCTCTGAAATTGTGAGCGAAATTTTTAGATGCGCCATACGATACTCCTTGGGCATAGAACAAAGATCATACTGTACGCGGGCCATTGGGATTATACAGTATTAAATGAAATGATTATAAAAGTTTATTAAATGAAAAGTTTATACTAATAGTTTATTTACAAGTGGAGATCAGTCAGTTCCCCTAGCAACTAGGGCGAGCACAACCAGCCATCTTTTATGGATCATTTGAAATTCATATATATTACTGTTTGTTTCCATCAACACCATTACTAAAATATATCCTTTTTCAATAACTTTATTAATATTAAACTTATTGAAAAAAGATATTTTTAGGGTGAAGTGATTGTAAATTACCCTCGAATTTTTAGATTCTTATTCCCCAAAATTACGGAAAGCAGCAAAATTTTTCAAATAGTTTTTTTGTAGACATCAATTACCCCTATAAAAATGCTTCTATAACAAATTACACTACCTATCTTAGATTGAGAGATTCTCTTTGA